TTAGCCAGGATGGTCTTGATCTCCTGACCTCGTGATCCGCCCATCTCGGCCTCCCAAAGTGCTGGGATTACAGGCTTCAGCCACCGCACCCGGCCTCAGGTATGGTTCTTAATACAGAGATATAAGACAGAAAAAGACAAACAGGAGTAATAGCAGAGATATAACGCAGAAAAAGACAAACAGGAGCCCTTGGCCCTGAGGTTTTCATTCTAGTGGGCCTTTTTTTTTTTTGCGGGGGGATGGAGTCTTGCTCTGTTGCCCAGCCTTGAATGCAGTGGCACCATCTCGACTCACCGCAACCTCTGCCTCCCAAGTTCAAGCGATTCTCCTGCCTCAGCTTCTTGAGTTGAATAGCTGGGACTACAGGCGTGTGCCACCATGCCTGGCTAATTTTTGTATTTTTAGTAGAGATGGGGTTCCACTATGTTGGTCAGGCTGGTCTCGAACTCCTGACCTCCTGATCCACCCACCTCGGTCTCCCAAAGTGCTGGGATTACAGGCAGGAGCCACCATGCCCAGCTCTACTGAGCCTTTAAACCTTGGACTCTCAGAGCTAACAGAGCCCTTTGATATTCTCTAACTCAACCTCCTCAGGAAATGCAAGCCCAAGGAGGAGAGGTGGCTTGTCCAGAATCAAAGAGCAAATTAGGGACTCAGTCAGGATAAAAATATAGGGCTTCTGACAACTAGTCAGGCTAGCACTTTCCCAAGAAGCAACAACCCCAGGCACTCAAAGTACCCTAGGTTGAGATGATACGAGGAAGATTCAAGCTGTCAAATTCAGTTTCCCAAGATCTGTTCCACAGAAGATAAGCAGATCTTACTCTAGAAACCACTGATTGAAGGGCATTCTGGTCCCGGAACCACAGAGAATTTGAATATGAGGTGGAAAACTCAGAAAAAAATGTTAAACTCTCTGGAGAGTAGAAGCCTGGGACAAAATCAAACCAAACTCATTCTCCTATTGCCACCCAGAGACACTGTCAACATTTTGAGCTCATGGGGAAAGTGTGGGCTTTTCACATTGTCAATGTCTCTGCTAATGGAGTAAGGCAGCCTGAAACCTCTCACTCCTAGGTCCCATAGTCCCCATTCCCCTTCCAGCTGGAAACCTGTGCTGTGACCAGAGGAACCAGAAGCAGGGTGAGAACACTTAGTGGACTGGGTCCTAAGATCAAAGACCAGTTTCGTGGCAGTAATGACAGTTCCTAGGGGAACTGTGATGTCACTATATTCCACTCCTCCCTGGGGTGGGGGTGCCTATCAGCATGACGCCTGAGTCACCACTTTGAGATGTGGGAAGGAGGTGCAGGGCCAGGACCCAGGTCCTTGGAGATGTCAGCCCAAAGACCCAAGGGAGGTCACACTTGGGGCAGCAGAAGGTAAAGACTGAGTATGGAGCAGGGAGCCCCAGGAGTCACCCACCCAAAGTCACCCTGGGGCAACTGGTGAGGGCAGAGGCTGGGCTGCTGAGGGGGAGGGGCTGGCTATAAGATTTTGGTTGGGGGAGCCCAGAGGCATTGGGTGGGGCCCAGCCTGGTGTGCCTCAGGAGTGGCACAGACTCTGGCAGCAGTCCTACCATCGGAGGGGGACTGGGCCTGGGTCAGGGGGCCATAACCTGGTGCATTTTACCTTTTTCTTGGCCGTGGACAATTTTCTCTGTCAGGTTTCTTCCGATATCACTGGGCAGGGAGAGGCGGGGATGGGGCCACATCAATGTGATCCCAGTGACAACTGCTAAACACTACTAGTAGCCTACCACACAGCTGTGTGACTGAGCCAGAGGAGGTGTAACCAGGGTCGCACTAGAATGCATAATAGGGGTGTGGCCTTAATGCTCGAAGCCTCTTGGTCTATGAGAAAGATGAAAGGGAAAGGAGCCATGGCCAGGCAGCAGCATGTCCAGAGGGACCTGTGGCCTCACAAGGAAAGCTGCTCATGTAACCACTGTCCTCCGCTCACTCTGGGAGAGGGGCAGGGCCAGTTTTCATTTTGAAAACTTTAAAACTTTAAAAAATAAACTTTAAAAATAATATGTCTGTGTATTTTATATATGTGTGTGTCTATGTGTGTATCTATATGTTCTTCCAGAGCTGTCTTCATTATCCAACTTCTATGCCAGGCCTACGATTTTGGCCTTTTTCATCTTCAAATGGAATAGAAGAATTACCAGTATTCCATCAATTGAGGTACAAATCCTGTAAAAATGGAAAAATCCATAGCACACTTGATGATTAATGAAGCAGACTACATTATCCAACATTCCAATGAAAAAAATAATCACAATGATTTCTCTTTTTTGGAAAAAGTTTATCTTATTCTCCTACATTACTGTTAAGATTTTTTTTAAACAAGAAACATGTCTAATATCTTTAAAAACACAAAGCTTTTGGGCCGGGCATGGTGGCTCATGCCTGTAATCCCAGTACTTTGGGACACTGAGACAGGTGGCTCACCTGAGGTCAGGAGTTTGAGATCAGACTGGCTGACATGGTGAAACCCCGTCTCTACTAAAAATACAAAAACTAGCCAGGCGTGGTGATGGGCACCTGTAATTCCAGCTACACAGGAGGCTGAGGCAGGAGAATCGCTTGAACCCAGGAGGCAGAGGTTGCAGTGAACCGAGATCACGCCACTGCACTTCAGCCTGGGTGACAGAGCAAGACTCCATCTCACAAGAATAAATAAATAAATAAATAAATAAATAAATAAATAAATAAAAACACAAAGCTTTCAATTTAATAAGCACTCAAAGCTCTTTACCAGTCTAAAGCAAATACAGGGCCCTTCTAAAGTAAGGCTAAATGCTAAGTGATGGGGGAGAGAAAAAGGA